GCACGCGTGACCTTGCAACACTACCCTCATCTGTCACTCCCCTTCTCATGAATGTTTAATGATTCCCTATTACCGACCATATCAAGCCCAAATGTCTGCTCCTGGCATGCCAGATTCCCACACTCTGCCTCTAAACCGACCTATCTGGCACGATCTCCCCTCCCCCACAACACTGGAGGCAGTTACCACTGTGAACCAAACTCACAGCTTCCCCTCTCTCCAAGGTTCTCCCAAGATCTGGGATGCCTCTTCAGACTTCCAGGCAGCTCCTGAAGTCAACATCACTGCAGATCACTATGAATACCAAGCTCTTAGCCATAAAAGACTACACATTTAAATATCCTGGATGATCCTGCACTGTCCAATATGGTAGCCACTACTACCTGTGACTATTTCTGCTTCAAGTATGTGTGTATATATGTATCTATTTTTTTTAAAGATTTTATTCATTTATTTGACAGAGAGAAAGCAGGAGAGCAGAGGCAGGGGGAGCAGCAGACTCCCCATTGAGCAGGGAGCCCAATATGGGACTCAATCCCAGGACCCTGGGATCATGACCTGAGCCTAAGGCAGATGCTTAACCAACCGAGCCACCCAGGCGCCCCAATTTCAAATATTTAAATAAAATGAAGCACATGTCAAGTGCACAGTCACTACATGGGGCTAGTGGCTACCATACCAGAAAACACAGACAGGAAGTGTTTCCATCATCACAGACACTTCTAACAGCACAATATAGTACTATTCTATATATGCGAGAGAGGAGTAGCCCGATGGGTGCTAAAATTGTTGTGTATCAGGGCGCCTGGGTGGCTCAGGCAGTTTTCCCTCTCCCTCTGCCAGCTGCTCCCCCTGCTTATGCAAGCTCATGCTCTCAGTCAAATAAATAAATAAAAGCTTTAAAAAAATAAAAATGTTGCATATCATCACTTGGAAAACTTGAGAGCCCACATTTCACAAAAAGGAGTGCATAGGACTTAGGGATACAGCCCATCTGAAGTAACCAGAAAAGCATTCTTATCAGTGATCCCAACTAGTTCTGTAAACATTGCAGGCAATTGCAACACCATGCTTTTAATTTTTTTCCAAAACGATACATGCAGCAGACCTCAGGAACCTCTCAACAAAGTTCTAGCAGATTAGTCAGGCCCCTGGATACTAAGCTCTCTGCTAGGTTCTGGGAACCAAGACAAATAACACGGTCCAGTCCCTGCTCTGGGGAGAAAGCCCATACAAAGAAAACCACACGGAGGCAGGAAGTTATATAAAGGTCCTAAGATGTACTATGGGGAGCAAAGAGATCAAATAAGTAAGAAGAACGAGAGAGGACTACATGGACAGGGAGATGAATTCAGCTTTGGATGGGGCCCTAAAGGATGAGTACAATTTTGATGCAGGAGCTCAGGAGATGAAAGGGGAAAACTGCATTAGCAAAAGGGGGAGCAAGTTAGGGCCCAAGGCTCATTTACAGACAAGCAAGCCAAAGAAGAAATATGGCAGCTTATCAACCACCCTAATATAGAAATAAATTTCAACCAACTTGAAATTTGTTTCCAACCACCCTAATAACCAAAGAATTACATATTAACTTAGACACCATTTTGAAAAAAGACTTTGCTTTTGTGAGAGTATCTGCAGGCAAGACGAGGAGGAACAGACTGTCTTCTACACTGCCGGTGGAACATAAATGGGCACTACCTTTTCAAAAAGCCAGTATTAAGCTTCTTAAAAGCATTCAGACCCCTGGCCTGATCATTACACTTCAAGAAAAAGGGGTACAAAATAATCTGAAATACAAAGATTTATGCAAATGGCAGCTTTTTTCAATGTCATTTATAACTGAGAAAACAATAGGAAATGATTAGGTAAATTATGATCTAGTTATAGGATAGATTATTATATAGCCATTAAGAATTATGCTTCTGACAAGTTTGGGATGCTTGGGTGGCTCAGTCAGTTGGGCATCTGACTTTGGCTCAGGTCATGATATTGGGGTCCTGGGATAGAGCCGAGTCAGGCTCCTAGCTCAGCAGGGAGTCCATTGTCCTTCTGCCCCTCCTCCTGCTCATACACACACACTCTCTCTCTCTCTCAAATAAATAAATAAAATCTTTTTTTAAAAAAGGATTATGCTTCTGGCAAGTTTTAAATGACAAGGAAAATGTTACAGGAATGTTAAATGAAAAAAATCTGGGCACAAAATTGGTAGTATAGAATACATTGTCAACAACCATGCAAAACAATATGAATAAAAGGAGAAAAACAAGCAAAAATGTTTACATTTTGGTAGCACGATTACAAGTAATTTTTATTCCCTATACCAGGATTCAGCAAACTATGTCCCACAAACCAAGCCTGACTGATTTGTCTATAAAGTTTTATTGGAACACAAACACGCACATTCATTTCCATAATGCCATTATCCATGGCTGATTCTGGGCTACAAAGGCAGAGTTGAGTAGTTGTAACAGACACAAAAATATCAACTATCTGGCCCTTCACAGAAAAAAAGTTGCCAACTCTTCTACTTTCCAAATTTTCCATGAGTATGTGTTACTTTTGCAATCTTTTTTCTAAAAGGCCTATTTCCGCACTGTGGAGGGCCACAAGGAGCAGGCAAACAACATCACAGTTTCATCTTGTAACTGGGAGCACTAGAAGTTTCTGAGGAGGGTGGAACATGATCTGACATGATGCCCACTAATAAAACACAAAACATCAAATCTTTTAAAGGGATGGAATTTAAACAGCATGCCAGGCAGGTCTGTGATTCATCAACAGCTGTGATTCTGGGCTACTCCCCATTTAAAGGGGAAGGTTAACTTAAGATTTGGCTTGTTAATTGTTTTCAAACTTCCTCCTCTTACTAACCCCTATGTAATGGCCTCCTCCCCATCCTAATGACCAAACAAATTGTTCCTTCCAAAGAGAGAGGGAGGGACGCCTGGGTGGCTCAATGGGTTAAAGCCTCTGCCTTCGGCTCAGGTCATGATCCCAGGGTCCTGGGATCGAGCCCCGCATCGGGCTCTCTGCTCAGCAGGGAGCCTGCTTCTTCCTCTCTCTCTCTGCCTGCCTCTCTGCCTACTGTGGTCTCTCTCTCTGTCAAAGAAATAAATAAAATCTTTAAAAAAAAAAAAAAAAGAGAGAGAGGGGGAGGCCATATGCAAATTTGTGACTTCTGCCTGGAGAGACCATTTGAAAGTTTAGGGTGGTACTCCTGTCTTCTTGAAGTCAGTCCTCCATCTTCCAAGCTTTTTCCCTTCTCCTACTTTTCTTTCCTACTCTAGAAGGACACAGGAAGAGAGACTGATAATGGGTAAAGGGAAAGGAAGGATGGAAAAAGACACAAAAAGGAAAGAAAATGAAGCATCTGAAGCTTCCAGTCTCAAAAGCCCTCAAGGAGCCCCTGGGATTTACCCAGTCTTAGAACCTGGTCAAGACCCTAAAACCTGCCTCCAAGGAATAGGAGCTAACAGGAAGTCTCTACACTCACAGGCTTTCTGTGGGTTCTCTATGCCTTGACCACCTGCCCCAGACACACTGCAAATAACCATTCCATACAAACTACTGTTTCCTTGTTCTCTCAGGCGAGAACACGGTGGAAGTGTGGAAACGGTCTTAAGAGTAGTTTCAAGTAAACACACTCCCAATCGCCAAGATGATTAATTACCTACAGAAGGAAAAACTCCAAACTACCGCAATTTCAGGTCTGGATGGAATAAAGCCAAAGGAAATAGGTCTCGGGATGTGGTGTTTGTTGTTGCTTTATTTTTAATTTGAAATACATGACATTTTGGGGACTGCCGCAAATTAAAGCTGTGAATTTCATTTGCGGCACCCTCGAAAACAGAACAATTCACCTGTAAATCCACTAGCTGTTTTTCCTAAAATCTATTTATGTCATGTTATGTATTGGTTCAGGAGAGAGGAGATATGAGAAACACACCAAGGTACTCAATTATTTAACAGATCATACTTAACGTTTTATATTTTAACATATACCCACTGCCGACAATTGTTCTCACGAGCTTTTTGAAACATTAAGCTGCACTACGCTCCTTCTTCTAAATCAAATATAAGTAATTTGTTGTCATAGCAATGCTTCTTCCCACTCCAAAATAGTTCAATACAGGCTTTGTTTCAGCAGGCAACTATCTACCAAAAATTGGTCATTATCTTCTCTCTTCTTGACAAATGTCTTATTAAATTTAGCTGCCTGGTTTTACAGTTATCAGGAGACTGCTTTTCGGTGGCATTTTCTCGCACCTGGACAGGAAAGGAGCTCATGGAACTGCCTGGAAGCATATTACAGTTAAGTCGCTGGGATTCCGCTAGTCATGATGACAACGGTCCTTTGCATTATTACCCAGCTTTACAGTTTAGAGAGTGTTGTCTGTCACCCACTTTATTGAACTAGGAGATGCTTACACGTTTCTTCAATTCCTGACATCAGGTGGGTTAATTTCACTGTGCGCATCAGCAGGAAGCTACACTTGTTCTGGGTCTTTCTTCTGGAAGCTTGAGTTCTGCTTTTCTACCCCATTGTTGTGGTACATTTTAAGATAATGAGGGCAATTAAAGTAGCTTTTGGAACTGCCAGTGGATACCATTTTGTCAGTTCCTGTGCAAAGGTCCAGTGAGAGATATTTATTAGCTGTTCTGACGAACACCCAAGCCCACACCCCACGGCCAGTACCAATATTAATGCTAATCTCAGATTCGTAGAGCACGTTAGAGTTTACAGAGCAAAGTCACAAAAAATGATCTAATTTGGACTGCCTCTCTTCTCTACCCATCCCCCCAATACATATAAACAGAGCTGGATCTTATTCCAGGCCTTACAAAAATTTCTCCATTTTTAAAATAACGGTGAAGCCACTGGTGTTTCCAAATCTGGTTCCTTCCAGCCTTGACCTTTATTTCACGCAGCCAGATTCTATGGAATCTAGAGTTCTGCCCTCCACCCCCCAAATCCTTCCCCAACCATTAGGCTGGAATTTCTTTTGCACTAAGCTCTTGGGAGAAAAGCAAATTTGAAGAATCAGGAGGTAGGGAGGGGAGATTCTTTGACAGGAGCCAAGGTCTTTAAAAAGGAGGAGAACCAGGGTGGGAAGATGAAGTCCCAGAAACTTTCACTTTTTAAAATACATTCCTGTATTTTTTTTAAAGTTTTTATATTTATGTTCATGTGTTACTTCTGTATTTCAAATAAACACAAGCTTGTTTTCAAAAATGAAGAAGGGGGAAAAAGAGCAGTATAGTTGCATGTAAATGAAAGGACAGCCAGAAACAGGGGATCCTAACTGGCTCACCTGCTCCCCCATCTCTGAAATGCTCTGGGAGGGAAGGAGGCTCTAGCGGAGGACCAGCTCAGAGTGCTCAGTTAGGAAATATAATCAGAATCAGGGGTTGCCCTAACAGAGCCTGAAAATGAGATTTCACAGAACCATGTAGGCTCCAGAGCCGGAGCTGAAAAGTTCCATTCCCACCCAAATGTGACCAAATGTAATTTGTCTCTCTGTATGACTTCCAGCTTCACGTAGTCTGATTCCCTTCAAAAATCTAATAAAAGGTGTAGTCATTGCCGTCATTCCTGTTGCTTGGTCCTTGTGAGCACTTGTCTCCCACAGACTTTATTTTTTCCTGCAGAATGAGCAGAGGAGCTGATGAATAATTTAGAACCCCCATGCAACTATTATTTCAATTTCTGCACACCTCACCTCTGTCAGGTGGAAGGGGAGTGAGGCCTACCCACATAATTACAGGCACTGAGCCTTAAAAAGGCAGAGAGGTAAGAGGATTTGGGCCAGGTCCCACAGAAAATGCTAGGCAGTAGGAAGAAAAATGCCTAAGGGTCTGAAACCTGTCCTCGGACCAGCCAACAGTAATGTCTATAAGGTCCAAGAGAAATAAAGCTCTCCTTCCCAACCTCTTGCCCAACCCAAAAGGAATAAGGCTTTCAAAACTGTTTTAATGATGACAAAAGCCTCTGGCACTAGAGGATATGAAAGTGTTAATTTTGTTTGGCAAAGTCAAATTGCTTTAAGAATTTAATTCTATAACCAGGAAGGTGCAATTCTGATTCTAAATGTGTTTCTTCCCTGGAGCTCAAAATCCAATTTACCAGCCCACCTAGAGGGATGCTTTTGCTTTCACCAAGTCATCCTTATTAATCTATCTACAGGCAAAGTTGCAATGGGAACCCCTATATTGAACATTTGATCAATGAATGTAACAAAGAAATGTAAAAAGTAACCTACTACACCTAACAACCTAGCTTCAAAAAATACAAAGTAACATTGATAGTACTAAAGGAAGAAATAGATAAATCCACATTTGTGGTGGGAATTTTAACAACTCTCCCAACCACTGACAGAGGAAGCAGACAAAAAACATGGGTAAGGATGTCCAAGAGTAGCAAATTTAACAAGGTTGATCTAGTGGACACTGGCCTCATGCCAGGGCACAAAGCAAGTCTCGACAAATTTCTAGAAACAGACCACGCAGACTACATTCTCTGACCACAATATTATTAAGCTAGGAATCAACAAATCAAACATTTCTCAACAAATGCTCAGGGAAAAAAAATGTCTTAATCCTTCTGAACACCTTAAGAAATCACATTGAAAATTATGAAATACTTAGAAACCGACCAACATAACAAAATACTACGTATTGAAATTTGTGGGATCTAGCTGAAGCAGTAGGTAGCATAAAATTATTAGCCTTTCATACTTACAGTCAAATAAGAAGGCCTGAAAATAAATGAGCTAAGCATCCAACTTAAGTTAGGAAAAGAACAGGAGATAAAAACTCGAAGACAATATGAAGGATAAAACGATTTAAAAATGAGCAGAAATGAACAAAATAGAAGACTAACATACTCCAGAGAGGATTAACAAAGTCCAAATTGCTTCCTATAGAAGGTAAATAAAACTTAAAGTTTTGGGAGAGACGGATTTTTTGAAAAATAAGAAGTCCATCAGAGAAAGACAAATACCACCTGATTTCCCTCATATGTAGAATGTAAGAAACAAAACAAATGAACAAAGGAAAAAAGAGACAGAAAACCAGACTCTTAACTATAGAGAAAATACTGATGCTTCAGGGCAGGAAGTGGGGGGGGGGAATAGGTGAAAGGAATTAAGAGTACACATATGTGGAGCCCCTGGGTGGTGCAGTTGCTTAAGCGTGTGATTCTTGGTTTTGGCTCAGTTCATGATCTCAGGGTCATGGGATCAAGCCCCACATTGGGCTCCGTGTTCAGAGTATAGCCTGCTTGAGACTCTGTACCTCTGTCCCCCCACACCCAGCTCCACTCTCTCATTCTCTCTCAATAAATAAATCTTTTTTTAAAAAGTACACAAATGTGATGAGCACTGAGTAATGTATAGAATTGTTGAATCACTACATTGTACAGCTGGAACTATTATAACACGGTATGTTAACTGTACTGGAATTAAAAAATAAATACAATTTGTGGGGGCGCTTGGGTGGCTTAGCGGGTTGGGCCTCTGCCTTTGGCTCAGGTCATGATCTCAGGGTCCTGGGATCGAGTCCCGCATCGGGCTGTCTGCTCGACGTGGAGCCTGCTTCCCCCTCTCTCTCTGCCTGCCTCTCTGCCTACTTGTGATCTCTATCTGATAAATAAATAAAATCTTAAAAAAAAAGACAACGGCTGCCAAGAAAGAGACAATTTGTAGATGATGATTACCAACATTGAGAACCCGAAAGAATCCTCAGATATATTAATAAGCATTAATGTAAAAGCATTTAGCAAGGTCGCTACATACAAAAATAATGAACAAAAATCTATTGCATCCCTAGACACCAGCAACTGATGATTACAACACATAAATTAAGAAAGAAAGAAAAAAGGGGCGCCTGGGTGGCTCAGTCGGTTAAGTCTCTGCCTTCGGCTCAGGTCATGATCTCCAGTTCCTGGGATGGAGCCCCACATCGGGCTCCCTGCTCAATGGGTAGTTTGCTTCTCTCTCTCCCTCTCCCTCTGTGTGTATGCCCTCTGTCGCTCTCCCTCTCTCTCAAATACATAAAATCTTAAAAAACAAAAACAAAAAAAACAAAAGAAAGAAAAATGACTAGATACTGTACAGGGTAGTTGGTGAAGGCCCTGAGTCTGGTGTCTAAAACCAGCTCTACCACTGGCTGTGTGACCTTGGGCAATCTATTCAGTTGTTCTGTGCTCTACCTGTTAGAATTCTTGTGAGGATTAAATGAGTTAATACATGTAAGGCACTTAGACCTGCCTGGCACAAAGTCGGCACTAAATAAACGCGAGCTGATCTTATTAATGTGAAGAAGTAGCTAATAGGCCTATTATCAAGAGCTCCAAGGTTCTAACTATTGGACTCCAAGCCATCTCAGGAGGAAAAGGTCAGGGAGCCACCTGTCACAGGAGCGAATGACACTCACCCATGTTTTCCCTAAGGCTGGGCACCGAAATCCCAAACTCCCACACCCAATACACAGCTCATTACCCACACACCCTGCAGTCTACACGGCAATCAGCAGAAGCACATGCCCTTTCTCTGGAGGCCTCTGCCCCTATCTTAGCGACTCTGTCATTGGCAGCACAACAACGTCAGGCTTCCCCCGAGCATGCAATCTAGAGCTCTTGAGGGCCCCTTTTCATCAAAAGAAAAGGGTAACCCTCAGCCTCTTAGTTCACACCAATGCCAGAAAGCCTTTGTGAGGTTTTAAGAAGATAAGCTTTTTACCACCAGCTACATTTCTCGGGGGAAGGAGGAACACAGAACCAAATAATCTGAACACCTACCACACACTTTTCTCCGGGCTTCCCAAGTAAGAACTCGTTTCATTTGCTCCATAACCTGATGCGGTAGATGGAATTCTTGGCCCCGTTTTATTAGTGAGAAACAGGGTGATGGGGATGATATGACTTGCTGAAAGGCCCAGAGCTCACGAGTGACAGAAATCAGCTTCAAACCCAGATCTGTCTGACTCCAACATCACCACCCGCCAACCGCCACCAAGCTTAAAGAAAGAACGGAAACTCATTCCCAAAATGAATGAGGGGAGTGGCACTGCGTATAGGAAGCTATGGAGTTTGATTCTCCTTCTCCTTCTGAAAACAGAGGCCAATATTAGAAGGGGAATGCAAACAATCATGAGGAGAGAAGGCCGAAAATCAACAAACCAGCAGGGTATCTGAGTGAGTGTTTGTGATGTCACCAGATGACACACTGGTGCCATTTCATGGCATGACTGAGCAGTATTTGAAAAACCTCACAGAAAGCCTGCCATTTCACCAAACCTGTTTCTGAAAGCCAGGCTGTTAGGGCCGGAACATACATTCCATATGCGCCGACCCAGACGCGGCTGCGAAGAAGGTAATATTGGCTTGGGGTCTGGGACAGGGAGCTGAAGAACAGGATGCGTGCGCAGCTTCAGTTTTGACGCCTGTTGGGCTAATGCACTCGATTGCCCACTAGTGATGAGCATCCCGAGGGCTTTAATCTGGTGCCGGGAAGCGTAAGGCTCACATGTGTGCGGTGCTGACACGAACCAAGGGCCGCTGCCATCATAACCCACCTGTCAGGACTTCCCGTCTCTGGCCCAGGTCAATGAGTCTGTTCCTCCTAATGGTGGAATCTAATCTGAACAGACAGAAGAGGCTGGCTCTGGGGGGAGTCTTTCAGAGCCCTGCCCGACTCGAGTGGATACACACACCATCCAGAGTAAGGGCCTCCAGGTTTGAGAACACACACCTCCAAACACCCCAACAAGAACATAAAAATATTTCTAAGATCATAGCTACCATTCCAACTATGGCATCACCTATGCCTTACAGATTATCAACCTTAGGCACACCTGGGGTGGCTCAGTCAGTTAAGTGTCTGCCTTGGCTTAGGGTAAGATCCGAGGGTCCTGGGGATCGAGCCCCACCTTGGGCTCCCTGCTCAGTGCAGAGCCTGCTTCTCCATCTGCCTTCCCCCTGCTTGTGTTCCCTCTCTCTCAAATAAATAAAATCTTTCAAAAAAAGATTACTAACCTTAAGTGTTCTTGAATACAAGGTGGGTTTTTTTTTAATGACAAAACAGATAGATAAAAGGTAAATTGTGCTAGGCATAGTTATTGTCTACCTGCTTGTAAACCCAGAAGGGAGATAAAGTTGCATAAACGTGCTGTTTAGATTGCTTCTCTCTTAGAAACCACTATCTCCCAAAACCCTCTTCCAAAATAGAACTCAAACTCTAGTAATTCTAGTAATTCTAACTCTAGCAATTCTAGTAAACTCTAGTAATTTTAACAGAGAAATAAAATATGAGCACCCCATTCGTAAGTGCCCTATTACCGTTCAGTCTTCATTTGATCTTTAGAAATACTCTGAGAGACTACAAGGCCTGAAATTAAATAATAACCCCTATAAGAAAGCTAGTAGTTTCTGATGTGGGTAACTGAAAAGAAACTATTTCTTCATAAATTCCCAAGGGAACACAGAACCAACATGTTACTGCCTAAGCCTGGTAAAGCCAGTTGAGGTTAATTGTTCCATCCAGGAAGCTCCTGGGAGCACATCTGATTCTCCCTCCTTTTGCATTTCTCCCCATGATGCATTTTGTCCGTCTTCCAGTTCTCTGATTTTTTTCAGTCTGCCAGGA